ACGATTGACCGGAGCAAAAAGATTATAGTTCTGTTGGACAGAAGAAACATAAAACATCGTTTGAGACCGTAAATGGACTGAAGGAACATTAAAAGGAATAATATCAAGAATTTCTGGACAGTCAATTTTATTATTTAATAAACTATGGATCCAACTAACGTCAAACATTTTCCGCCTCATACTCAGACTGGTTAGACCAATATCTGAAGCTACTACATTTAAATCAACTTCATTAATATCGTATTTTCCTACTTTTACTACTAACATACGTAGAAAACGTTTTTGCAATTTTTCCAGTTTATTAGTAAGATTAGCTTGATATGGTGACCAAATAATTGACCCATATTCGACTATAGAACGCACTAAAGAACAATATAAAACTTTTAAACAAATAGGATTAGAAAACTCCCAGCAATTTCGCTTAAGAAAGCCCAACATCCGTAGTGCTTTATTATAAATAAATGAAATGTGTTCAGTAAAAGATAAATCCGAAGAAAGAATTACACCTAAGTCTTTGATATGAGGAACATTTATGATATTAATACTATTTATATTATATGCATATAGTTCATATGAACGCTTACGACAAAAAGTGATCTGAGCACATTTAGACACATTCAAGCATAAACCATTAACAACACACCAATTATAAAATCTGCACAAGTCTGCTTGGAGATTATGACTGTCGTGAATTGTACGAATGTTAGAATAAATTTTTACATCATCGGCAAAACACAAATAGCTTGAATGTTGAAAGACATCAGAAAGATCGTTCATGAAAATTAAGAAAAGTAATGGAGATAAATGCCCTCCTTGAGGAACCCCAGAGGGGATATGGATAATGGAAGAGATAATATTATTTATCTTTACTTGCTGCTGTCTGCCTGTGAGGTATGAAGCTAACCATTTAAGTAGTGGGTCTTTAATGCCAATATGTTTTAATTTATCAATTAATACCTTGTGATTTAATGTATCAAACGCTTTTTTCATATCAGTATAAATTGCATCTACTCGACCACCATTTGCAACAGTGGAAACAATATTAGTATAAAACACAAGCAGGTTAGTAATAGTTGATTTAGAACTACGAAAGCCGTGCTGGCAGTTATTCAGCACGTTTTTAAAACTTAATGATAACTCGGGCTCTAGAAGTTTCTCAAATATTTTCGGCAACACACTTAATTTAGAAATAGGTCTATAATTACCCACATCAGATTTGTCACCTGATTTAAAAATAGGTGTAATATAACTTGATTTCCATCGTACTGGAAAAACACCCGAAGACAATGACAAGGAAAACAAAAAATGGATTGGACGAGTAAGCGGATAACGACAAGAACTAAAAATGATACCAGGGACAAGGTCAGGACCGTAAGTAGTGCCCGTATTTCGTTGCAGTTCTTCAAACAATTTTAGAACCGGGATCTCACATGAGGCTATACTAAACGAGGAGGGTAAAATAATATTTGGATACGTTGATCGGACGGTTTGTTTCGAAACAGAATAATTAGAAGCAAAGAACTCACTAAACATTTCAGACACATTGATCATATTGTCTGACTTTATATTTCCAAAATACATAGAGTTTGGAAGTAAGTTATTATTTCTTTTATCTTTGACAAATTTCCAAAAGTATTTTGGGTTAACAATTAAATTATTTTGAATACGGTTAATATAATCTGAATAACATTTTTTTGATAGGTTTTTACATTTAGATCTAATAGCTGAGAACTCATTATATATTGATTGGTCTTTTTTAATTTTGAAAATCTTGTGAAGGGCATTTTTTTTACGTATTAATTGACAAAGTTCCTTTGAAAACCAACTTGGGAAAGGAAACTTCTTTGGATAAACTTTAGGAACGAATAACTCGATAGAATGTAAGAGTATCTCATAAAATTTATCAAGCGCACTATTAATGTCATCATAGTTATATAAAATCGACCAGTCAATTGAACTTAAATAATAAGACATTTGACAATAATTACCACGTTTAAAATTATAATACCAATTCAAGGGGCATGAATGCTGATAATTGTTACTACGTTGTAACTCAACTAACAAAGCCGGATGGTATGGGTCTAATGGCACCAATATATCTGTTGAGGTATTGACAGTGATCAAATTTGTATTAGAAAATATTAAATCCAGATATGAATTGTATATATTAGGAATTGTGTTGACCTGATACAAGTTTAAAGATGAAAAGCACTCATAAATAACATCTACTTTAACTGATCGAGCGCCATCGTAAATCATGCCATGGTCATCATTATAGAATTTTGTATCACCTAAATTGTAATCTCCCATTAAAATAAAAGTAAAATTGGTTTTAACAACACTAGATAAAATAGACTGCACAGTATCAGCATGAGCTGAGTAGACACTAACTGAGCTCCCAGGTGGTATATAGCATGCACCAATAATATATTTTAAATTACCACCACTATTTACAGTTACAAACAACTGTTCAACATTATCAGTGGGGATCTTTATGATTTCTGAAAATAAACATTTATTCACACAGATTGCTACTCCACCACCTCTCAAACATGAACTGGTTTTATCACTCCGGTCAACACGATAGACTATATAGTTATCAAAGCTAAGCTCTGAATCTAAAATTGAATCATTTAGCCACGTTTCCGTTAATACAAAAAAGTCGACTTTGCATAGTGGAATATTACATTTTAATTCTGCAAGTTTTGTCCGTAAACCACGTACATTTTGATAATAACCCAAAAGAGACCGATAATTATTTACAATTTTTTTATTACAATGTATACAATTTTTAGTTTTTTTATGTGGATGATTTAAATTTAAATTATAATTTTGTTTAGAATACGAAGAAGTGTGGTTAATATTTTGAACCGTTGGGGAGTAATTTAGTTTTTTGGCTGGATCGAAGGAATACCTTTCACATATCTAATAACGATATTAGATTCACCTTTAAGACGTCGCTGGAATAACTCTTCCCTCAAACTTTTCATTTGTGAACGTTGAAGTAAAGTTAGGTCGGCATTAATCCATATATTTTTCCATTTACTTGTGTTTTGAAGTTTTATTTTGTTTTTTAACATTGTAAAAGCTTCCGATTCATTCCCAAATTGAATAAGAAGTGGCCGTTTTTTAGACTGTGCATTGCCAAGACGTTTGGCTAATGTTATGCTTAAATCTAGGTTTAAATGAGATATTAAATCATTTGCTAACATTTTTGAACTATCATTAGTCTCGTTTGGTGCTTCTTCCATATTAAAGACCACAACATTTTTACTTTTTGATATTCTCAACTGAGCCTCCCTAATTACTTCAGATGAGGACATATCAATATTGGTCGTGGTTTTTGACGATTCTAATAATGATACACGGTCACGTAAGTTGTTCAATTCATCGTTGAGTATTTTATTCTCAGATACAAGGTTATTAAAAGATGTTATCATGCTTTCAAATGAATTATTCAAGATACTTAGCTTATTTTCATAGCTTATAAATTTCTCTTGAATTGTTTTGAATTTAGTGTCTTGGGACGTTTGCATTGATTTTAGCATTTTCATTATATCATCTAAACAAAGCTCTTTTTGAAGTGAACTAGACGATGTTGATTTTTTTAACGGTGTTCCCGGTTTACTGGACATGTTAATCATTTACTATACAATATAAAAAAATTATTAACAAAGACTAAGATTTAAGATTCGATTTAACACTACGAGTAATCACTACCCACATACGTGTGTTCTATACGACAGATACAACTGAACTGAATTTTTAATATATAATTCCCCCCCCCCTTGAGATTTCTGAATATCTCTCTATATGAGGTTTGTTATTTATTAATAAACTTCTTAGAAAGTTAAAAAAATCATCTATATCGAATCGAGGGGGGTCTTAACCTGTTAAAAACATTTATGTGTGGGTGTTTTCATCCCTACTTAAATTAAAAAAATATATAATAATTTCATTGGTTGAGTGATTCAGTTAGAATCTCTCTATGAGCTATAAAATAGAGTAAAATACTTCATTACTCAATAAAAGTTTTACACCGTCAACATCGAGTCAGCAACATGAACATGTTCACATCTTACAGAAACTCTTCTAACATGGACTATCCGGTCTCGTACATAAGAAAAAATGACTTCGGAAAGATACTGAATAGATGGCCAAAATACACACCGCCAAATCCACCTTCCGAATTATTGGACGTTACATCATTCAACATTGATTTCAGAGAACGTAAGTTTATTCAAATTGGATTTGATTCTATTACACTACAAATTAAAGCACATATTGTCACACCTTGGAGACATATATGCATTAATGAGGGGTTTATTAATCGTTTATTTGGATACATGGGGCAGTTGCTGTCTAATGTTTTATCAACTGTACCTATTAAGTCCAAATATGTGTTAATAAATGAGGATCCGGATGTTGTTATCTCAAAAGCGTTTTATAGAACAGAAAATGTTATAATACTTCAATCAAGAGTTGTTAAACACTCGAGAATTTTACTAAATGCGAGAAACGTACTTAAACTTCAAGAACTAGAATTTGTTATTCATGAATCTGTTGTGCAAAAATTATCATACGGGCAAAAAGTTATTAAATCACAAGTCGAAACTATAATTAGTTATTTTTCACTACAAAAAATAGAGGAGTTATCAGAAAATTCAATAAAAAAATTTATTCGTGATCATGAAAAATTTCCGTCTTGTATAAATATAAATGCCGACGAACCAGATTTCACGCAACAAATAATGATGCATGCAGATGACTATATAGCAAAAGAAGTTTACAAAAATCAAATTAAACAAAATAAGGTGAGAAAAAAATTAAACGTTAGAATTTGAAATATAATTTATTTCAAACACTAATGTTTAAACATATATATATATATATATATATATATATATNTTTTTTTTTATTATTATTATTATTTAAAAAAATATAAAATACAATATATATTTATATATATACAATGATATTAATAAAATTATTATTATTATTTATAATTTTCTAACATCACCCGAAAACGGGTTATATGTGATTATTTGATCATGAATTACTAAACAATAAGCGGTAGTCTTCTCTGGAACCGCATTGGAAAATTCAAATTCTAATCTTAAATCCAAACCAGAGTTAATTTTTATATCATCATCCTGTCGACTCATATCAATAACAGCAACAGGCATTATATCTTTGAATTTTGAATGGTTAAGTAATGGTGAAGCCCAATCTCTATCGTAATATGTTCGTTGAAATTTTATGTATGAGTTGTAAAATAAAGAATAAAGGTTATTCGGGTAGTCAGCTCTAAAATCTTCATATGGATAAACTTGCGTGTTTAGATATACTTTAAGATTTGTCAAATTGCAATGATCAAAAACAGCCATAGACTTTGATCCTGTATTTTTACGGTCTGTTTGAAATCCTATAATAACATATCTAGGTTTCTCTAAATTATTACATGTTCGTACAGACCATGAATGCCGAGTATTCGTAGGTAAAAACGGGTACTCTGCCAGTTCCCATGTTCTAAAAGGGCATTTAATAGATTTATGACTATCTATTACCTTCATTAATCGTAATTTTTCTTTGTTAGCTACTTTAATCANTTAATTTTTCTCTGTTAGCTACTTTAATCATTGGCATTTTCCATAAAACCTTATTTAGAATTATTTTAGTCTTTGATAACTCTATGGCCTTTGTATTATCAGTTTCAAATATCTGTAACGNATATTAACAGTTTCAAATATCTGTAACGCATCCATATCATTTGATGCTCTATTAAGTATTAATTGTTGTGAGCAATTCATAAGTATACGCTTATAATCTTCGCAAAAACCAAATAAATGTCTTAGCGGTATACACACTGAGAAATAGTCATTACTCATAAAATTAGTATTGGTAAATGTAGAGCCATCAAACCCGATAGCGTTAAGCGCATTTATTTCAGATGTAGTATAAGAACACAGACCTTTCAAAGTTGTAGCAACACCAGGGTTCCTTAGTTTCTGCACCAAAACACCGTTTATATGGTAACTAAGTTCAGAAAATAAATAACTAAATCCGTTATTAATAAATCTAATATCACCCTTTACATCTTTAGGTCGTTCTAGTTTCCCCTCAATATATAAAAAACTTTCACTTGGAATTGAATAACCTTCTGAATTTTGAATCGAAATTCTAATTTCATCATTATTACATAACGCCGATGTGGAAAACGGCAAAAAGGAGTGGAATTCATATTGAATAATTGTACACTCATCCACACATTCGGCCGTAACGTCTAGTGACATATTATCATTCATGTTATAGTACTGCTCCAACGCTTCTTAAAAACTTGATATTTGATTTTGATAACTTTTTTTGTTTAATCTTTTTAGTTTTCTGTGTAGAATATTTTTTTTTACTCACTATGTTGTTCTTCTTTCGTTTCTGAGTTTTAATAGACTTACTACAACTGGAAACACTCTTATTTATACTAGAAAATTTAAGAGCCATTTTTTTTATGAACGATATGTAAACGAATTGTGATTGGCTCGCCTCTAAAATCGATCAAGTTTCCGTTTTGATCGGTTATTTGAAGTTTAACGTGAGTTATAAAAATATAAGATAATAAACCAAGTGTCTAGGTACTTCAGTAATTTTATAACCTGGATTTACAAGAGGGTAGAACTGATGAATATTATGACTCAATGTCCCGTTTACAAATGACGATGTAATCAAGTTACATGATACATTTATACAGTTAATACTCGTTATTTTAATAATTTGTTCTGATTCATGCATCACATTAGCTCTATAATATTGTTTACTTATAAATCCGAGCATAGGTCCTATGCTGTTTGATATATTGAAGTCTATGGCATGGCTGCACTTCAGTTCACATTTTAAAGTAGTAAGGTTTGGTTTCAATTCAAAAAACTCAACTTCATTTGATAAATTATTTTTTATATAAGTTTCAATAGTATTTATTTCATAGCACCCCGTAGGTATTTCTATATAATCATAGATTATATTTTTTCCTTCTCCCGGGCGTAGTATTGCAATACTGTTATTAGAGGGGGTAATATTCGGTATTGAATTATTACTTTGAAAACTAATCAAAGCTATTTCACTGTTACTTTCTACTTCCAATGGAGGAAATAAATCGCATGTTAATTCAGAAGAATTACCATTAAGTGTTATGGTAACCATGGTTCAGATAGGAATTTTAAACAAAGCTGACCACAAATGTATGTGTCAAACTTTTGCTGTTGTTCAATATTATATATTATTTCACAATCTTTTAAATATTTTAAAATTTCTAGAGGAGGTTCCACACCAAAACTATCATAGTAGTATGCTTTTTTAAAATATTTTTTTATAGCTACCCAGTGAGTTCCACGATTTTTATACGAGTCTAAATTAACAATAAACGATTCGATTTTATTACTATGCACAGGCAACCGATCTCTTGAAAATGTACCTCTATACTGAGGTATATTCAACTGGTTGGCGTACTTTGTTAATTCATAATCGTAAAGCGCTCTTTTAGGTAGCTGCGCTAACAGTTTTTTGACTTTTTATTGGTTTTCGGTTTTCTTTTCGATTTGTTATTCCTTTACCGGTAGATCTTAAGTAAATACCTTTATCCTTATTTTTGTGACGAAGATATACCCCTTCTCCTAATTTATATTTTCCCGGGCTATAGGTGAGAGGAATAATCCATTTCCTAAATGTATGGGGGTGTTTTTAGTCGAATTCATTTCTTTAATAGTTTTAACAATGCTAGTCGCTCCTGATGCTAAACTACCTAAAGCTGAAAGCCCCGCAAATAAAGGTATAAGCTGAATAAATCCTCCTTTTTGAGGAACGTTTAAAATTCTCGGTGTATTAATTTTTTTTCTTTTTGATTTTGGTAATACTCTTTTTGCAGCTGCTACAGCAAGTTTCGTTAACTTATGAATATCAGTTTCATTGCTCGATTTAATAGTTTTTTTTAGCAGCTTTCACTAAATCTTTAAAACTACACCCCATACCTAGTTTACATTTGACTTTCATAGCGTTACAAACTAACCACGAAGCTGCTTCTTCCTTTATCCCGGTGTCTTTAGACTTTACCAGTTCCCAAGAAGCGTCTTCTAATATCTTGTCAGCAACACGACGTTTTTCTAAGTTTTTATCACCATCATAGGCTATATCGTGTTTTAAGCACAAAGAGTCTAATTTATTTATTCCGGTTTGCCCGAGTGCAAGGCGTTTCGCTAACTTGGTGCCCGGTCCAGCAAACCTTTAAATGTAAATAAATATTCATAACTACATATAAATCACTAATATTAAAAAAATTATACTTACTGATACCCTGGAATATGAATTTCTGTTGATAAATTATTTATAAGGCTGTTCAAAAGCGAACCTCCTCTATTGTTCTTAGTCACTTGACGTGTAGACATCTTTTGACCTGGGCAAGTTAAAGACGTTCGTATTTATAGTAAAAAGAATGAAGTTTACCCCGCAAGAAAAAAAAATTTCCGTTCGTAATTTTGATCTACCTCAAAGTTATAACAACATGAAATCTAAACACGGTGATTTATTCCCCAACTCATTACGAGTTCTTATTCTGGCCCCCTCCGGTGGGGGAAAAACCAATGCGGTATTTTCTTTACTTACAAGTGAAAACGGATTAAAATTTGAAAATATTTATCTTTATTCAAAAACTTGTGATCAACCGAAGTATCGAATGTTAAATGATATTATTGGAGGTATAGATGGGATGAATATATTCACATTCGATCACGCTGATCAGATCCCCGCTCCAGAAAAACTTCTAAAAAACTCTATTTTTTTATTCGACGACATATTAACAGAGAACCAACATACTGTGAGGACTTACTTTACTCGAGGTAGACATAATAACATTGATTTAATTTATTGTGCACAAAGTTATAGTTATTTAGATAAGCGATTATTACATGACAATGCGAATTTCATAATACTATTTAAACAAGACGAGACTAATTTAAAACATATTTATAACGACCATTTAGCCAGTGATATTAGCTACGTGGAATTCAAACAATTATGTATGAAATGCTGGAACATGGAGAAATATAATTTTGTTGTTATAAGTAAAGATTGTCCACGGGACAACGGGCGATTTAGGTTAAATTTTGACACTTTTATAACTATATAGACTATGTTTGTTATTCAAAGCATCCATTTATTCATTAAACATGGCAGAGAATAGTTATGGATTACTTACTGAGTTAATACAAGCCCGCGAAAACATTAAACGAAAATATATGGAATTAAAACGAAATGATTTTAACACAGAAAAATATATAAGACAAAATTTAGAACCAGTAATAACACCACTTGAAAATTTAGTGAGTATAAATAATAAATATGATAAGACTAAATCAGATATTCACATTAAAATCGCTGAATCTTTGAATAATACTGAAGATGTTTATCATACCGAGAAAGACTATATTTCTCCAGAAAATTTATCGATTAATTCATGGTTTCAATCATCTAATTTAGATAAAATTTATGGCCCGAAAAAATCAACTTTAGGTAAAATAAAATTTGGTGATTCATACATTGAGTTTAACACTCAAAAATCTATAATATATGTAAATGAAAATGAGTTTCCGTTAACAAATGGTATCATTCAGTTATTGTTTTCTAAAGATCCTGAAAATTATAGCGAAGATGATAAAAAAAATTATAAAAATATGTTAATACTCTCATCGGCTCATTTAAATAAAGGAAAAACCAGTTTAAAAAGGGGTGGTGTGAAGTATAAGAAGATTATTGCATCGTTATTTTCCAATGGAGAAGGTCTTACTTTAACTGTACAAAATAATAATAATAATTCCTATAAAAGTCATGATTTTTGGGATGATCCAAACGAATTAGTAAAAAAATTAAAATTATTGTTGGCTTCGAAAGGTGCAGGTAATACAGGTGTGCAAAATTCTATTACGTCAATTTGGGAAGAATTACTAGAAGCGAAAATTATAAAACAAATTCCTCATGTCGAAACGTGATATCGCCATCGAACTTCATAGAGGTGCGAGACGTAACTTCGTAAGAAGAAAAGTAAATGTATATAACAAAAATGACTTGTGGCAAGCAGATTTAGTCGAAATGCAAAATTATGCTAGTGTTAATAAAGGGTATAAATTTTTATTAACAGTTATTGATTGTTTCACGAAATTCGCTTATACAAAACCGTTAAAAACTAAAACTGGAAAAGAGGTGGCTTTAGTAATGGAAGAAATATTTAAAATACAATCCCCATCTCTATTACAATGCGATAGAGGGGGTGAATTTTATAACAAATATTTCGATGAATTAATAAANCGAATTTTATAACAAATATTACGATGAATTAATAAAAAAATATAACGTAAAAAGATATTCAACTTTTTCTACTTTGAAAGCCTGTATTGTAGAGCGATTTAATAGAACACTAAAGAATTATATGTATAAAGAGTTTACTTCGAGAGGGTCATACAACTGGCTTTCAATTATACAAACTATAACGGATAAGTATAATAACTCAAAACATAGAACAATATCAATGACACCAAAAGAAGCAGTGGAAAATCCATCTAGTGTTATATTAAAAGAACGAATAATACCCCAAACACGTATAAAATATAAAATCGGTGACAAAGTGCGAGTGAGTATCTATAAGACTTATTTTGATAAAAAATATCTCCCCAACTGGTCAACAGAAATTTTTACAATATCAAAANATATCTCCCCAACTGGTCGACAGAAATTTTTACAATATCAAAAGTCAATAAAACCTCTCCTGTTACATATAATCTTCAGGACTACCAAGGTAATGATATCGCAGGTGGATTTTACTCGGAGGAAATAAGTAAAACAAATTATCCAGACCATTATCTTATAGAGAAAATAATTCGTAAGAAAGGCGATAAATCATTTGTAAAGTGGCTTGGTTTTGATAAAACACATTCTAGCTGGATTAAAACTAGTGATATTATAAAATAAAAATAGAAAATTACTGTCTACATAGAATATTAATTTTTTTNTAATTTTTTTTACACACACACACACACATGATATTTCAACCCCATACAATGATCATTGTATTGAGTCATGACAATACTCGAGAGTGTGAAGGGGGTATTCAAGATCCCTATATAAACCATGAACAACCCACAGAATCATTGCGTTTACTTCAAACACTAAAAATAATAAGTATTGTACAGTGAATCAATCTGAAATACCTCCGTGATTTGTGTGTTTTTATAATAATACAATGTCTACGTGTATTATCGATATGGAGTGTATACTCGGACCGGAAAATAATTATTTAATTAAAGAACTATCAGTAATAGATGTCGATTCTTTAGCAACACAACACTGGATTTTTAAACATACGTTTACAATACAACAATCGGAAAAAAGTTATAATGTGAATAAATGGTTATCACGAAATAGACACTTAATGACAGAAAATGTTGGACATGTTGAAAGTTCTTTAATTCAGAAAATTTTAAACTCACTACCATTTGAATACACTTATGTAAAAGGACTACAGAAACAACGAATACTTGCAGAGTTTATACCAACCATGAACATTTTTAATTTGGAGAGTTTGGGTATGCCGCGTATAGATCAGTTAGAACCATGTGAAAATTCACCTAGTTGTATGTATCATATGAACTTAAATCCAAAACATTGTACATTTTATAAAATATTTCAACTTAGAAATTGGTTTAAAAATAATACTTAATTATGTATTACACACACATGTATTTTATGTATTTTATGAACACTATACATTTTTTTATAAAATAAATTATTTAATTATTTTTACTTATTCATTGCATTTTATTATTTTCTTCACAAATAAGTTTTAATAAAAAAATTATATTAGATTTAAATTACAAAATTGTTATTTTTTTACAAATAATTATTTTCTTATTAGAGATTTTATACAAACATTATTTTAAAAATATAGTTTACAAAATTTGTGTTACAATACAAATTTACAGGTTATTAAAAACAATTTACAAAAATGAATAATAATAATAATAAATAAAAAAAACTTATTATACCACTCGAGAACTCCCCCACCTATTGGTTTGTAATGAGTGTAATTAGAGTCACTGGAGGTGGGAGGGATCGCCTGCGCAAAACCAGTGATCTAAGTAGTGAGTACAGTATGTAAGTGTGTATTATGTATACGTGTAATTAAAAAAATTAAATGTTATAAATAAAAAAAAATCTTAGAAATAATAATAATATTATACCCCCCCCTCTGAATAATAAAGCACATAGTTTAAAATCGAATGTGATATATGTTGTGTGTGCAATAGGTGGTTAAGTGATTGATAACCTTTACCAATATAGTAGTGGTCAGTGGTGGTATTTTTATAAAATTATTATATTATACTATATTATATAATTTTTAATTATTAAAAGCTAGTTTTCCTTCGATCCTTAATTTTCTAAAAAAAAAAAAAAAACCTCATGTATATTTAAATAAATAAATACATGTTATAATAATAATAATAATAATAATAATAATACTTACTCAAGCATATAATGTCCATGTGGCAAAGTATCGATTTGATTAGATAATACTACTCTCTTGTCATCATAACGATTTAATGCAAGTTTTCTAGTCTGTATAGTTTTCATGCGATGTTGGTATGATCTAAATGATGTGATTTCCCTCTCTGGTGTGTAGTTTTCATCTATTTTTTCAATATGTGTTGTAGTCATCCCTCTAAAAAGACATTGTTTATGATCCATCATCGTCAAATGATTTGTAGTTACATGTCTTCCAACTCCTTTTGCCTTTATTTTTTCCCGGGAATCCATTGTATAACCATAAGATTTAGATCGTAAAGCAATAAATTCTTCAATAATCTTCCCCAATGCTTCATCTATAAACGTTAATAATTTATAAAATATATTTTATTAAAATAAAAAATTTACTAACGATAACTTACCTGTAAAAGTACCTGGTAATTTAGTACGTTCTGTGTTATAGCATTTATGGTTAGGGTCTAAGTTTGAAGTGTCCAGTTTTTGTAAAAACCCTGGTTTTTTCAGTAAATCTTCGTAAAAATCATCCGTGTGAATTAAATAAACAAGAGAGTCGGTATCCATATAGATTAACTCTATACTTTTACCGTAAAACTTACGCATGGTATTATAGTGGAAATCATACATTAAAGTTTTAGAAATTTCTAATATACTAAAACCAGCATATATTGGTTTGTCAAAAGTAATGACGTCATGATTGAGGTGAACCGCACAAAATGTTTCATCGTAGATTGTTATGTCTTTAAAATTTGGTTTATTAACCAACCGTTGAAATGTTTTTTCATTTGTAACTAAATTCATTTTCATTCTCTTTCTACACGATTCCATGGTTTTTCCTAAATAAAAAATAAATATTTAAAATATTACTGATATTAAATAATAATAGTTATTATTATTATTAATTACCAAATACGGCATTATTCATTAATTTATAAAATTTTTTTAAAAATTCACTAGTGGCTATCTTTTGTTTGTCTGTGTTGAGTTTAATGTATTTTGACAGCCATGCACTCGGCTCGAATTGCAATATCCTATGTACCTTTTTGAGTTTCAAACCAGCATCCATCGCTTGTTTCAGAGTCGAATAATGTACTATATAATTATTTTTATTAATTAGAGTAGCACATAATTTAGGAACAATAGAACCTGGTGGTAAAAATTTTTCGCTCAGATAAGGTAAGTCAGAGTGTGCATCATGTAGTGATTTGGGGTAGTCAATGTCAACTTCTAGCATATAACCAGTATCCGAATTTGAATCAGTGTTCTCTAGCAAGTCACTTACAGTATTTATAGATAAATCACCTTCGTACCAATTAAAATGTTTTCTAGGAAGCGGTTGCGACATTGCCCAGCCATATCTGAAATAGTTAATAATCATAATAAAAATTGTTGTATTTCAATACGATTTTTTTTTAAAAAAAACTTACAGGTTTGTTGCATCTAGGTAAATTATCCAACTAGTAGGGTTGTTGGTATTATAATCACTCAGTTGTGGATTATTCGCCTTGCTGTATCTTTTCACAGCTTGTGTAAGACCACCACGAATTCCGTTTTCCATAAAAAGCAACATATCGTAGTCGCTTAACAATTCCAGCTCTACATTCGTTATTTTTAACATTGCATCAAATGACAACCCCGGTGCTGTGTAGTAATAACAGGGATCGAGGCCATAAGTCTTATGGCATAAATCTCTGAAAGCTTCGAAAACATCGCATAAAAGTAACACATCAAGTTTATTATACCATAAACAATAATCCCTCATTGTTTTATGATTGAACCGTTTCCATACATTTTGAGCGTGTTCATAATCTTGAGTGGAAATATGTTTTTCTGATAGTGAACTAAAACGAAAAAAATATTTTATATATATATTTAAATTAATTAATTACAGTTATAATAATAATATATTATTATACCTGTAAAATTCTTCAATTGAGGGTAGAGAGGTTTGAGATAGTTTACTCCAGTCATCCATCCACTCGTAGCAAAATACACCTTTTCTAAAAACTAAATCTAAATCTTTCTCCTGATATGATGAAAGAATAGACTCAAATTTTGATTTATCGGCTTGTAAAAGATTCGAACTTAACGTATCTAAACTAGCGGACATGAATCTTAGTGTATCTAAAAAGCGTACTGAAAATGTGTTACTTATGAATTTAGAATATGAAATAAATTTTTCTTCGGAATTCGGTACACAAGTTATACCCCCCTGCGCTAAAGTTCAGTTCTTTAAGAATAAAACTTTTATCATAGGACATGTTATGCGCATATACTGGTACAAATTTCGGAGTCTTCATTTTTAAATTACATGAATTACAAACAGTTTTTCGATAATCTCCGCTTAAATGATGATGATCTCGTACTGCAGGGTTTCTTGATGTAAAAGTACTCATACACAGTGGACAAAAACCACTACAGAGTATTGCGTTATGTGAGTCCCAATCATCATGTGTCATATGTATCGGTGTATTAGTTTTCAGTAAACGCTCGATTTTTTTACATACATCTATAATACTTTCGACAAATTTCTTACCAACATTGTCATTTCCGTTACTCCCACAATATTCAACAGGGTGAAGCGGTATTTGAAATTCTTCTAGTAATTCCCGTGGTACAGTATCGCTAACTTGAACTTTGTACACAAAGGACATGGCTTCGTGATTATGTGTTATTATAGTTTTTGATTGATGTGCGGGGTTCGAATTTTTAATTAACATCGCTTCAAAATCAGCATAAATAACAAAATCTAATTTATTTATATTACCCCAATTTTTGAATTTTAACACTGTCCCAGGATCCGGCATAATCGGTGTTAGAGGTTTATTCAAAAAACAAAATTTCTTATGTTCAGCTAAACGTTGTGCTTTGTCAGGTTTACCTAATTCATCCCGATATCCTTTGAAACAACGTTTGCATATGGCCAATGACATTGAATGTTTAGTGATTTGAGGTCTAATTAAACGAGAAAAATTCTTAATGTAACACCAATGATACTTATCGCTGTTGTTATGTGATCCGTCGGTAAAAAGAAGTAAATCAAAATGGTCAGGGCTTTCCACTTTACAAATCTTATATGGTACGACAATGTAATCTACTCTTCTGTAGTTTTCTCCACTGCGTTTTTCTTCCAACCCGTAAACATTGACCGACACGTTAGGATTATTTTTTTCAAATTTGCTTACTTGTTTTAATGTCACCGGGTATGTCAATCCTGAAAAATTATATTTTTCTTCGACGTTTGTGTAATTACTTACACGATTAGCATTTGGTGAGTTAACATTTTTCGCCATTATACTATATTTAAAACATAAATCGTCATTATTCATTACATTGATTGTTGCCTTACGGTTTTCAATACAATCGGGTAACTTTATATATGAAGAACCACCAAGCGGAGTAAACTTATATACATAGAGTAATAATCCATCAACTGTGTCCATTGTGAAATTTGAACCCTTACCACGGTAGACCTCTTCTTCATTTAATAATTTAGCAAACTCCTCGTCGATTATATTACTCAAATCGTTTATATCACCAATAACAAGTGAACGGGCAGACGTTTTAAAAGACCTATTTTCTTCAATAATTGTGTGCGGGACGCTGTATGTACCCTCAAGTTTAAGCCCAAATTTAATCGCATTTTCAGAGACTAACTCCACCAATAAATTAATTGATTCAGGTTTTGTCTCATCAAGGAATTGTTGATATTGAGGGCATAGATTCAGATTCTTTTTATAAAATATTTTAGCCATACCTCCAAAAACAGTTTGAATTAAATTAAATCCTGGGGCTTTGACCATATTTAATCGTTGGCGTTTGCTTCTTCGAGCGTTTTCAGAATTTTCAGTGTTCGATGTATTGTTAAATTCAGCCTGTAAGCAAATGTCATCCGCTTGTTCTCCACCCCATAAGTCCATGTCTTCATCAGATTTACGTTTGTTATTTATTGGAATAACGCCAGGTCCTACAATAATAATAATAATAATAATAAT